CCCCAACTCCCCGCGGTGAGACGCCGGGGCGACACTCGAGGGAAAACAATGATCTACAATGTGGAGCGACGGAGCGGGATGTCCCCGAAGGGGGGTGTTGCTAGGGGGCAATTAATCCCATGATGTGAATATTCAGTAGCGATGGCCACATGAAGGGTTGCCAAAATATGGCCGCCGAAAGATTAGGGGCCGTATAAGGGTGGGGACCTGGAGAGGAATGAATATCTTCCTTCCCCCCCTTTTGCCGATGGGCACGCTTCTCATGCTTTGGAGATTTCTCGAAATGGAGGACCTTCGAGACCCTGGGGATGTATAGGGAGTAAAAGTGGGGTTGTCAGGACCCTTACTGCAACTAATAGAGGTTGTATAAGGATCAATTAAAGAAACTCTCACTTCACTATTGAGCTACTCGACTCTCCTGAAAAGATATCCCCCGACTCGAGCATGATACATCACAGGCATCCAATGTTGCTACTGCATAGCATTAGTGCTTGGGGAAGCTTCATGCTAGCCTTGCCATACGCTTGTGACCACAATTACTTGGCTGCTACATGACAGGGAAGAGCCCCTTTTACCTTTTACACCCTGGCCTGGAAGACTATCACACCCTGTGAAAAATCCAAAAAAAGACCGGCAAGTGGCCTTGACGCCATGAGCTTGATTCTGCTACTACCGTCCGAGGGACCCTGATCCCGGAAGCGGCCCGAACCCCCTCTCCTCTTGATAGTCCAAGCACTTCACCATGAAATAATCGAAGGGACTGTAAACGGATAATTTTCTCTAAAAGGACCTATACAACACCCACTTCCATTTCATTTGCCAATCCTAGACCCTAAACCCCAAAATCCCTAACCCTATACCTATACCTAAACCCTAAAAAACCCAATCACTGAACTCCAGACCCCAAACCTTGAGCCCTCAACCCCAATCCCGGAACCCTAAACCTCAGGAGCACCCCCCACCCTGTACTACTGGTAAAATAGGAATATAAGATGACCCGAATATAATCCGTATTATCCCATATAATCATTATTACTGCGTGGGGATCAACCTATAGTCCCCCTTAAGTAAATAGAATATGGCTTTGGGTATATTGTAATAAGATCCCCATATACCCCGTATTCTATCTACCTAAGGAAGACAATAACCTAAGCCCTAAGCCCTGAATACAATAAATTCTATCTATCTACTTAAGGAAGACTATAACCTAAGCCCTCAACCCTAAATATGACAATTTCTATTCTATCTACTTAAGGAAGACTATAACCTAAGCCCTCAACCCTAAATACAATAAATGCTATTCTATCTACCTCAGGAAGACTATACCCTAAACCCTAAACCCTGATCCCTGAACCCTAAACCCTAAACCCTGATCCCTAAAGTCTGAACCCTAAACCCTAAACCCTGATCCCTAAACCCTGAACCCTAAACCCTAAACCCTGATCCCTAAACCCTAAACCCTATATCGGCTCTAAGTTTCCAACCTCGACTCAAACAGCTCCTCGACCTTGGCTGCGATTTGCTTCTCAGAGAAGAGGGAATTTTTTGTCGATGCCCGAACCCCAGTATAGGGTTTAAGGTTTAGGGTTTTCGGGTTTAGGATTTTACGGTTTTAGGGTTTGAGGAGTAGGGTTTAGGAAGTAGTGTTTTAGTTGGGGATACTATGGTCCCCAAAGAAATGCTCAAGCGATTGCAGACTGTGGTAGCCCCCCCGTAGGCCTTTCTGCGGTGCCACAGTTATAGGAGCGATGGCAGTTGTGGACCCAGCCGCCCTTGTGGCAGCAGCGGTCCGTGCTGCTTGCTTGGCCAAGGCCCCTCGTCGCACTGTGCAAGGCTTTGCAGCTGCAGTCGTCTCCGTCCTTGCGAGACCTGCAGAGTCGACACCGAACACTGTCCGAGGTGAGACTGCCAGAGGCACTGAGGCTTCTGTGGACGTCCTGGTGCAAAGCGAAGAAGAGAGGCGTGAGGCTGTCAAAGCCAAGCGCAGACTCAAGAGACAACGCAAGCGTGCAGCAAAGGCTGCTGGCCATGCAAAGCAAAGCGATCCGGACAGGCAGACAGGAGCAACTGGGGTTATTGTGAATGCTGCCAACAGTGCGGATGCAGAAGTTACCTCGAGAAAAGCCCCACCGCCGAACGTTAGGGACACCACTGGCGATACGCCCCCGGGCAAGCGCTTCCGTGATGTCGCTTTGGCCTTGAGCAAGGAAGATGATGGCGGTGCGCAGGAGAGGGCTTTGGCTGCGGCCTCTCCTTCAGGTTCCATGCAAAATTGCGATTCTCCTCACGTGAAATGTCGCGCTTGTGCACTGGATTCTCCACTTGGTATGACGCTGTCCTCAACCCTGGGGTGGCCCATTTCCTTGATGGGAAGACCCGAGCTGTTTGCAGATCAG